TAAGTTATTATGTTATGTTTATTTTTGCATAGTTAACGAATTTAGGATACCTGAAATTTTTGGTTCAAATGTAAACCAAAAAACCGAACCGAACCGAACCGTTCGGAGCTTTAGTTAAGATCAGGTGATTGAGACGACTACTCTTTTAATATTTTTACTTTGTTTGTTTGAATCCAAATTTGAACATCATTGGCTGTGTGAACTGGTGCATTATCATCTTGAAAAAAATAACCTCTCCTATCAAATTTCCTCTCTATTAATGGTAACAAGTTCTTTTCTAAAATCTGAATATAATCAAAAAGAACTACTAAACATAATAGACAAATGATGTTTTGGATAGATACTCTCTGAATTTAAAGTTTTAATATAATATAAATTTTATGTATAATAATTATGTGTGTTTTTGAGCACTTTGATAAACAATTTTGATATCATGTATGTTTTTGGATAATTAATGTAAATAGGTATCCAAATAATTTTTTCCAGGTAGTGTATCTTGATAAAAACCTCTCTGGTGCACTCTATCTCAGCCGAAGAATTTTGATTGTTAAGAATTTGTGTTCAGGTTTTCAGCTCCAAAAAGAATTATTTTATTGACAAGATGTATGACACCGTACAAAGCTTCCAAAGAAGTTTGTAAAATATACTGATGAACTTTTGTCAATTATTCATTAGTTCGTATAGGCACAATCAAAGTAAGTGTTAAATACAAGTTTGCAAATCAAAGTTTTGTAAATGAACATTTTATCAATTATTCAATATTTTGTATAGGAGTGTAATTAATCATTTTTAATTCTTGATAGCTAATTGTAAAATTTTCTGGTGGATTTTTTAAACATTGATCACTTTTTCTAAAACTATTCAATACCCCTTTATCAGAAATAACCATCATTTCCACTTCTTCCTCTTCATCAAAATCATCAACCTCAGGATTTGGTTCCTAATAATTTTTCCATCAGTAAAAAAAAAGGATAACTTACAAACATTAATTTATTGTTAAAAAATTAACCTAGAATACTTTATTGCCACCATCAAAAAAGGATAATGCACAAATAATTTTGTTAACACATCGTCGTTTAGAAATTAGAGGATTGCCACACAACACCACGAAAACCATCAGGTACCATAACCGAACCAATCATGATAGCTTTTGTTTGAGTAGTTGTTTCTGAAGCACCAACTTCAAAAAACTCACTGTTACCAAAATATGCAGGTTGTTCATAAATAACCACTCCAGACTTTAACTTGACAATTATTGTGGAAGTTAATGATTTTATAGGATCAGCTTGAGCAATATCAGAATCATAAATTATGGGATCGCTTTTTCCCGAATCAATCTCAAATAGAAAACCGGGTGGAATCTCAAGTGAAAATGGTGATTTGAAAATGCTTGTTGGGAGAGTTTTCGATGTATATTGATCTACAACTAATTGGGTAGTATTTCCACTAAATAATGGATTAATATAAATGTTAACAGCATCTAATAGTTGATAAAATATATTTGTTAGAGTCAAAAATAAATTTACAAATAAAAAATACCAATATATATACATATAAAAACTTACTAGGAGCAACATTATAAGTTTTCCATGACATAGGTGTAGAATTATTTTGACAAGTATCCAAGCCTAAATTATCAGCTAACATTGTTAAACATTTTCCATTATTTGAGCTGCTCGTGAAAGTATCATCACTATTCAGTTTCCATTTTTGAGTGACCCCATTATCACAAGGACAAGCTTGCACAGCAGAATTGGCTTTGGTGGTAAGGCATAATTTGTTATCTAAGGATTCAATGAAAATTTCAGTCGAATTTGATAATGGCTGAGATGGATTTGTTGAAATAAGATTCCATTTTGTTAAATCAGAAATTTCACCAAATCGATCAACAGGACAACTTGTAAGAATTATAGATGTGCAACTTTGGGTTGAATTGCTTGCATATTGTAAACAAGTTTTTGATTGTTCATTGCGAATGAATTTAGCTAAAATGTCAAAACGGTTAATCAAAAATTATTTTTTTGATGTAAAAAAGTTTGAAAAATATATAGTTGTGAGATCTACCTGCTTGTACATTAGTATTCAAATTTGTGAAAAGTAGCAAAAGAGCGAAAACTATTATAATAATATAAAAATTCCTGCTTTGTCCTTTCATTCTTTATTATTATGTCAAGTTAAGATATATATTAATTGAAATTAGTGGTTATATACAACTAATAATCTATTTAAATAAAAATCTATTTATATAACAAAGAGAACGAAGAGATGCCAGCTCTCTTGTTATTTAATGAAAGAAAAAAGAAAACGTATAAAGTGTATAAAACAAAAGCTAATACTAAGATTCGAACGACTATGGCACCCTTGGTTTATTATTATTAAGAAGAGTAAAAAATCATTTTTTTACAATAATTATCCATTATATATAAATTTTTCAGTATAATATATGTACACTACTAATATGGAAAAAAAGATAATTTGTTTCTTATTTAACTTCTTTGTATTAGTATTGTGCAATCTATAATTAAATAAGGAGGCGTTTGAGAAAAGGCTGATCATAGTAGCGATCTTATCAAATTAAGCATAACTTATTGGTCGATTTTACTTAATTCGGTAAGATTATCAGACCCTTTCTATTTATTTTATTTTATATTGTCTTATTACTTCAGCTTAAAGAGTCAATAAATTTTGGATATAATTTCGACAACTATGAAACTTAAGTTTCGATAATGATCATTAAGAGGGCAATCATCTATAATTCCGTAATTTAATAATCTCGTAAACATTATTATTGTTGTTGTTGTTATTGGCTATCGTAATTGTTTGCTCAGAATATGGCGTGTAACCGTTATAAAAAATTTTATGAAACCCTTGGTCACAGTTTCAAACGCTAATTCTAGATGATGCATATGTATATTTTTTTGAATTAATTATTATTATGGTTTGGTGATTTCCCTATTAATTGAACAGTTCCTTAGAATTTTTACAAGCATATTTTTGCCAAGCTCTCGAAAAGTTTTGGGTTAGGATTCCGGGTTTCCTTCATTAGTATTAGTATTAGTAGTTACAATTTCAAAATATCATAGAACAATGTTGACATATGACCTCAAATTACTTGTGAAATGACCAAGTCACATGATAATTTAATCTCATATACCAAATGACATTTAAACTCTCGCCTTGACAAGTAGTAAAATATCAATTAATTTTTTATCAAACAAGTGATTTTTTTATATAGTAATAGATACATATAATTTATAATCTATCAATTCGATGCGTGCATGGATCACATGATATTTAATTTTTTTGTTTGTTTATACGCGTTCCTATTACATTCATTGTAAGAGTGGTGGGGTGGTCAAACCTTTTAATTAAAGAACCCTTTATTATAAGTAACTAGTTAATTAGTAATAATACGCGTGATTAAATAAAAATATCAATTAAGAAACTAGCTAAAAAAATATTAATTAAACATTAATAGAAATTCGATTCCAGAACCATCGTCACCTTTATCAATATCACTGAAAATTACAGATCGGAAAATATCTTTATAAAAATTAAATCCAACAAGAGTTAAATAAAATCAGACCAATAGTATTAATAGTAAGTACATAGTATGTATGATAAATAATTCGTCTTCTTTCAGCCATTTGTTAGAAAACAAGTCACGTGAATGAATCTTCCTGATATAGATACTAATACTAATACACAGACAGATAAATGTCCCATAACAATAAATAAATATACCTTATTTTCGTCAAATATTATAAATAATGCTAGAACATGATGATGTTATGAAAAACGCCGTATTGTTTTGGTTATCATAACTTTATAATTAATGATCGTGCCAATTCCCAGATGTCGAATTGAAAAATAACAAATTATCAAAGGTATCATTTATTTAATACCATCCATCAATTTCATTTTATTTATTTAAATTTTAAATTTATTAAATTGTACGCGATGAATTTAAACGTTGTCAAATGTTTTTGCCTCATCATTAACAATATGTGTACTTGACACAGATTGAATATTCAAAATTCGAAAACTGGATTAGAAAATGCAACAACATCAATCTTGGTTGTTATTGTTGTTGTTAACTGGTCCGTGACCCTCTTTTTTGGGGATTTAAAAAATCCGAAACATAATTCTTATTTGGTTCCAAAATTTTTATTTTATTCAAATATTATGATAAAGAGGGTATTGGCTATATTAAGCCGGCGAGTTCAAAAAAATTGATTCTATCGATATTAAAGCATAAATTATCCGAGACCATACCTGAATGGTGCCGCTCAAATGAGTAACTTTATGGGGGCTAGACCAAGATTAACTTTACCTATTTATAAAAAATTACACCATCTACTATATACAAGGAAAAAAAAACAAAGGGTACGACGAGGCTCATAAGCACACACCCCTGAAACAATATTAAGATTAGATTTCAATTTTTAATACTAGTCATTAATAATTGGACATGTGATTAACGATGCACCATAGAAACATTCGTTTACGTCAAGAACTTTTCTAATGGAATATTGGCTACGGATTTGAGCAAATAAGAACATTTATCCTGCAACCTTTCTTTTCTACTTGCTCCTTATGCTGTTATTTCGTTTTATTCTTAAATTCATAAAATATTTATTAAATAAATTACA